TATAGCAGTTTCCATTTTTTTCTGCCGCCACTCTTCCACTTCAGACAAGGAAGGACTCTTGCATGTCTTGGATGCTGAAAAGCTGGAGCATCTGAAAACTCTTCAGCCGTTCCCTCCGGGTTCTCCTGTGAACGCGGTGGCGCAGGTCACAAACGACGCTTCAGCTAAGACGAAGATTGACTTGACAATGTGATTGCTGATTTCACTCAAATCCCATAATCCCAGTTTCTATTTGATTTCCCATTTTCTTTTGCAGCTGATTCTCCGTTTTTCCATCATCCCACATATATATATATAGATATAGTCACCCCGATGTACCCATATATCTATATATACATACATCTACCTACATACATACATACATACATACCACCCATGAGCTTGTAAACCGAGGAGCGTGTCGCGGCAGCATCGAGTGCCGTCTCTGGCTTTACTGTGGCGTCCCTGATAGATTTGGACCGCATGTGCCACGTGAGAAAATGAAAAACATAAGGCTTTCCCAAAAGTAGGTCTACCTTTTTGGGGTTTCCTATCATAAGCACTACTGTATATGGGGATCCATTCGGGTTCCTCCCTTTTGGGAAACTGCCACATTGCTTATGTCAATCTTGTAGCTCTACACACTTGTCACCTGCAGATAGGCTGCCCTGCTTTGTGCCCCAGCAAGGGTTTTGATGTGCGACCTGCAGCAGAGCCACGTCTTGTTGCGCTGCCAGTCCCTAAACCTTAAATCCCTAAACCCTAATTCCTCAACCCTAAATCCCTAAGCCCTACATCCTACTGAATTCCGTTTCACCACGACAGGCTAAGGAGCGAGTAGCCCGCAGCCTCAGAAAATGTGGGAACCCCAATATAGACCGCAAAGCACTATAATCCTGACTATAGCGGCTTTGGGGTTTAAGGGGGACCCCCAAAACATTAGACCCCTGATTTGCTGTTGAGGTAAAGTAGGCAAAGCCTAGAGTCAATGAACTTGCTCCCACACTCCTTTTTAGAGAGGGCCCCAAAAACTGGGACACGGAACTTTCTCAAAATGAAGGGTACCTTCATGGGTGTTCCCATAAACAGGACTATAGTATGTTGGGGTCCATGTGGGGGTTTTTGGGAAAGTACCATACAATCCTATGTCTGACTCGATTGACGGCGTGATGACATGGCGTATGGATCCAGAGCCTTCCTGGCGCGCTGCCTCCTTGGATTGTCGCACGGTAGGATTTAGGGTTTAGGATTTAGGACTTGGCTTTAAGGGTAGCTTCTGGAATCTTGGTTAGCCCAACTTGACAGAAAAAATCAGCATGGTGGAACTGATTCGAAAGGATCGCTAAGAGGCTAAGAGTCAGGGAACGTGAAAGAGTTGTGGTTGGGTTAAACCCTATGAATCCCTGTATACTACCGCCGTATAACCCCTATATCCCCCTTTAAGGGGACCCCTAATTGTGCAAAATCCCCTAGACTGGGTACCAGTGCTAACTGACATCCTCGTCGAAGTTGCCGTGACGTGCGAGCAATAACCATGGTGGCAAGGCAAGAAGACCGGGTTGTGGGAAGTAGGATATTTCTCAACGTTACGGTCGCTCCATAAACTGTACCCTAAAACATAGACTTACAGGTCACTTGAAAAACACGTCCCCTCCTGCCCCCCCCCCCCGACATGCCCCATGAAATCCGCCACCTTCTCCACATGAGCCATAGTCTACACTCCGGGGGCTATATAACGGATTATATAGGGAACTACGACAGGGGTTATTAAGGGGGATACTCGGAATTTTAGACAATGGCTCACATGACCTCCACACCCTATGCATCCCAAAAAGCAGGGCAGACCCCAAAATACTACAATCCTTATTATAGGAACCCCCAAACAGGTACCCTTAAGTTTGGGAAACCCGAAACCTTAATCCCTAAACCCTAAAACCTATAGATCCCTATATACCCCCATATAACCCCCATAAATCCCCAAAAAGGTACCCCTAGCAACCTTTCCAAAAAACTGGGATTTCGGAGCAACAGAGGCTTCTATGCCTCGCTCGTGGTGAGGTGGCCTGGAATTCACGCGTCCCGGCCAATGAGGTCTCTGGACCGTGGCGCTCTATCTTCAAGGACCCCTTTAGGTAGTTTTAAGAATGGGTGGAAGGACGTTCGGGGATTCTGTGGGCTGGAATATACAAACTGTGCTTCAAAGTTTCGATCACTTGTTGCAGATTTCGACATTTTTAGCCATAGCTTACGAAGATTCCGCAAAAATATGTACCTCGACGCCCTGGTGACCTGATGGCCTTGCAAGCCATGAAGCAAAACGAAGCGGTATGGGTTTCCCAAACCCCTACACCCTGAATAGTCATTGCCCCATGGCTTCTCTGAGCATCCACTTGCGGCTTCGCACCCTTCCTCTCGCCTGAATGTCTTGCGCGACGTGTCATTGCTCGATGATGCTTTGATTGAGTGCTTAGACTCTCTATTTTGTTTGGGGGTGTGGAGGCCTTCTTTTGGCCCCACGAGCTCTGGGGTAATCATGTCAAAGTGGCTGTCGTCGTTCACACCTCAAGAATGTTGCGGTCCCTCTCTGACAAATCCCAACAAGGGATCTTGCATCTTGAGAAGCTTCCGCTTCATCTCTTGCAGCAGGAGCGGGATCCGGGAGCAGAAGGCTCGCATGCTCTCGGATGGGATGCAGAGCAAATGCGCAGAGACTTGCAGATATGTCTAAATTTGCCAGCTTACGTAGTTTTGTGGTCGACAATAGGACCTGAATCCATTCTTCAGGGTGGTAGGTTGGCACATGGCACCCGGGTACGATGCGAGAGCATTTGTAATCCTAAGGTCTAATGGGAAATTTGTGCCCAAAGATTGCCAAAATGGCAAAAGAGAAGAACGATCTTCGATAAATGCAGCGCTCCAAAGGGCAGTATGATTCTGGCTCCTAAGCAGGCTGGTTGCGATCTCCTATGGATGATGGCGTGAGAGCCTTGCGGATGCGCCTGGAAAGTGAAAACTGCATGTCAGATCTGCCAGTGTTTTCGACATCAAGCGCAGCTCCCCGGCAGAATTTCATGGACTGCAAATCCGATTGTGTGTGTCCAGCGCTTGTCCAACCGAAACACGATGTCCCTCTATAGTTCGTGCTTCTCCCTAAACACTGTCAGAACATTCCGGTGGGAGGAGCGCATGCTCTAATCTGAGGAGTTCAATGTCACGTACGTGTCCGAAGTCTTTCGCGCAAACGGCTTCGTGGTCTTAGAGAATGCTCTTTCGGAGTCGCAGCTGGAGAAGTTGCGTGAGGCACCAGAGAGCTCCCACCCTGCTAGGTGGAAAGCTCAAAGTTGAAGACCCTTAGGGTTTAGGGTTTAGTGTAGGGTCGAAAAGCCAGATGAAATTCTGACTTACTTCGATCCAGTCAGTTGCCTGTTCTCGTCATTGATCTATGCACAGTCAATCAGACACGCACAGGAAATCTCCGCAGAACGCCGGAGGGGGAAGGATATTGGGATAATATAGGGTAATATACGGTTGTATAAGGATAATGGAAAAGAAAATTGAAACATTGAGGGAAAATTGGGCCCTGGGATTCTGCTCTGCAGGTCTTCTTCTTTTACCCCTTACTGACGGGAGGGTGGTTGACTTTTGAGTTTTTCTTAAACCCTAAACCGAACCCCACATGCTATGACCGGCCAGGCTCAAGGCAAGAAAGGCGAGATAGCCTAAACCTTGAAACTATTACTATAATATATTGAAAAATACTACATGATATAGTATATAACAGTTTGATATATTACAGATAGTATAATATATTATAATATATTGGAATATATGATCATACGTTATAACATGTAACCTAGGGGGGCGCCAGGCTTGCGAGAAGATCATGAGCCACGTCTTCCTGGCAGACCCTGAAGGAAACTTTGGAGGAGGCGCCGGGAAGCTACCACACCGCTTCTCGGCTTCTCCTTATTGGGTTGATATTGGGGATATATAGGGGTTATATTGGGGATATATTGGATGTATATTAGTGGGTCGTTTAGGGGCCCAACTTTGAGGGTCATGGGGATTTAGGTAGTAGGTTATTAACGAGGATAATTTGGGTCATTGCATGGCTTATAGGGGTTATCAACCTATTTACTAGGTCCACCTGACCCTCAAGGTAGGGGTATGTGGGGAGCACTGAGGTTCCAGAAAACCCCAGGAAGGGATTGTATAGTGCGCAGGGGTTGATTTGTTTCAACAACCCCCTCCCGACATTCCGTGACTTCTGATGCCCAATCGACTTCTCGGCATAGTGCCAGTACTTCACAAGTTTTTGGTTGCTGGAGATGTCTTGTGGCTGTCCGTCATCAGGATTGTTTGGGCCACCAAAAACGGGAGCCATAATCGAGCGAAAACTCCCCTATGAGTCAGGCTACAGCTTGGGAGACTCTTCTAGGACGAAGTCGAACTTCCATTTGGAGGCATTGGGGCCAAATGTGTAGCATTTAGCGTCTGTTAAGGCACATGAAGATGGCATAGAGGTTACGTAAGCTTAGATGGGGTTGTTGTGTTCGTGAGTATTGGGATGGTTCTGTTGCTGAGCAATGGTGTTTTCAGACGGATCCTGGAACCAGCGCTTTGCTTGGCAAGAAGGCAAGATGAGGAGCATCCCTAATTGATTCAGGCCGGCTTGCGGATACTTTCTCATAAATACCGCAGTTGGTCTATTCCCAAAATTGTGTCTGTGTGCATGAATCTGCGAAGAGTCGACAAAAACCGAAAGATCTCATGCCATGGCCAAGCACACCCTGACTGCATGCATGCACATTCAAAGTTGCTTGGAGAGGGTTGCTGTTCTTGTGTCCATAATAATGGGAGAAGAACGGGAGTGTACGTTAACATGAAGAAACAGAACGTAAAGGAGCCCTGTGAGGCGTATGCTTCGCTTGTGGACTTGGAGTCAACAACGCCACTCCTCATGGCCATCTTTGGATCCCACGAATACCTCGCAGCTGGCTGCGGAGGGGATGTTGCTTTGGCTGGCGCCATTGAAGCCAGGCTAAGCACTTGGAGGGTCGGGTGGCACTGTAGGCATTGAGCTACTGCCAAAAGTCCTCTGACCCTCTCAGAAGTTGATGTGGCCTCCCTCGCTTAGACTCAAGGTTCATGTGATTTCACCAAGGAGTACCAGGCCTTGCACCCGGATGCTATCTGGGGTATGCTGGACAAGCATGTGGCAGATTACGAGGTGCCACCAGCTGTGACAGCCGACGCCTCAGCTGTTCGAAGTGATTTTAGGTTGTAGATTGAGGCTTCAAATTATGTGAGCTGATGCCAAAACAGTGTCCAAGATCAACTTTGTCTTGGAGAACCTAACAGCCATCAACGGCCCCATGCGTGTGGTACCTGGTTCTCACCGCTGGCGACAGCGCCCTCCAACTCTCCACGAGGCCAGTGTTCGCGCCAAAGGCGTCCGCTTACAGTAAAGTCCCCACGACGCCGAAGACAGCTGCAACCTGTGCCAGCTTAATCCACAAGCGCTATGAAACCAGGAACCGGACTGGATGATGTTCAACACGCTGTGTCCCGTGCCAGCAGGACTCATGTCCGAGCATGTTTCGATCCAGGGTCCATGGGGTTACATTTGAGGTATAGCCTTTGGGTCGACTCAGTTCTCATTGATAGAGCTACAATGATTGCTTTGGCTAGGAGCTGCCATCTTTCGGGACAACCGCCTCTGGCACGCCGGCACACCAAACCTATCCGACCGGATGCGGGCCTTGCCGAATCTGGGCTTTCTTTTCTTCCACACAGTCAAAGACAAAGGCTGAAATGTAGCTTCAGTCCCTTCACAGCAACAAAGGAACATGGAGTACTTCCCTCCCGGGGCGCGGCCTTCTTTGGGCTGGCTAGATCGGCACACTATGCCCTGGTACATTTGGCAACAGCTCACGCCGCTGGGACAGTACATTTCCAGAGGTGTTGTTGCTGCCCCAGATGAGCCCATCCATGGGCTCAACGAGTACTCGCCCGGGGCAATCCTGGAGATCATGCCCTTCCTGAGGTAGAGGCAGGCAGAACGATCCCGCGCCGCAGCTGCAGCAGGATCTGGAATCTGGACGAGGCTTTCGCAATGCAATTCCACGAGAATGCAGCGCGTCCCAGAATTTCTCATCGTGCAACAGCAGACCGAGAGGGCCAAGAGGAGTGCAGGGCAAGTCAACATCACCCAAGGCTAGATTTCGGGTGCAGGGCTGCAAGGAAGGCGGCTACAGCTTCCGCTTGGATGCGTGCGCAACGCAAAAGTCACCTGGTCGTTCTGGGGATGAACATGCTGGCTTTGACAGGCACTGCTCTTGGATTTCCTTGGCAATGCAGCATGTGACTACTTTGCGTGTTGCTGGGTATGGGCCATTTTCCACCGACAGGTACCAGGTGCACATGGATTTAAGAGTGCGCAGGCAAGAGGAAGGCCTCCAAGACAACCTCAATCAGCCTTGAACCGCCAGCTAGAGGTTACGACCAGGTTTGTTGAGCAAAAGTCCTCATAACAAGCACTCAGCATCTGCTTTCAAAGCACAACCTACAGTAGTGAAGCTGCTCAAACAGCATGAAGTCATAGCGAGACGCGCCAGCGCGCCAGCATCTCAGCTCAATTGCCTTGCAGATTTCATGGGCAAGGGGGGGGACGGGAGCAAAATGCGGCGCATTTGCATCCCTTTTGATGCAGCCACTACGGTTGATGGGCGGAATCCTGCGTGCGGCTGTATACACAAATCCTATGAATTCTGGCACTAAAGAATACTTAGGGTGATGCACAAGTTCCTCAATTTTGTCCATCAACTGTAGGCATAGGCTGGCAACCTTTGGGATGTTGACTTGGGAACCAGCAAAGCTGAGGTGGACGAGACGCTGCCATGTCCAAGGCTTCGCATGCTTGCAATGCAATGGCGGCTTGTAATGATTGCCACAGGGACAAAAATGACTGTGCTAATGGCATCCAAAGAACATGATCATAACAACAGTCATTGATGATCAGACCGGTGATGGCTGAATTACTTTCGTCGAAGTTTTGCTGGTAGGGCATTCCCTCGCCACTGCAAGGGTGCCTTTCCCGGCGGCTATGCTGAAGGGCATCGACTTTGCGTGCTGGGGGCTTATGCAACCGCAGGAGGCATTAATTTCCTGACTAAACATGGGCGGAATGCTACAGGTTGGCAAGTTGAAGCCCCGCTTCTGTGCGGTTCCAGGAACTTCGCGTGTGAATTTGAATAGGCCGTCCCAGAGAGCGTAAAGAATGGGACTGGAATTCACCTGTTGCGTTCCAAGATGATGATTGTCCAAGTTGCGCAACCTTCGTTCTGACACTGACCCTGGCATCTTATTTCGATTTGTGAACAAGGACTAATGAATTTCAAGCGCGCCGTACTGAATGCAATTTCCAGGTCGGCAAGTCATGGAAGGCGGGTCTGAGAAAGGGGAATCGCCGTTCGGGGGAGGGGACGTGCTTTGAATTTGGTTTGTTGGGAGGAAGCGTTCGGAGGAAGCATACTCTGTGGCATGATCTCCCTTTCGCAAACTTGGATGGGTGTTCTGGAGGAAATTAGTGGGTTGCCAACACAGAGTCCCCCATCTCCTGGATGGCTTTGCACTTGAAAGGCGAGTTTTGGGAAGTCTAGGATCACTACTCTCACCCTCGAGTCATTCAATTTTGGCAGAGCTTCAGGGAGCTGGTTGGGTCAGGAATGGAGGGGATGCTCCGATTGTTTTTTAGAGCTGTTCGAAGCTAACGAAACGCCGCTCGCAGGGGCCTGAAGAAGACAACCCTGCAAGGGGCATTCGGAGATTTCGGCCACTGCCCTAGATGGAAGTCGTCTTCCGGCATGCGCAGTTCTTTTCGTTCGAGTATCAAATATCAGTAGTCCTTGAGCTATTGGCTGATTCTTGGGGCAAGGCCTCTGACGTCTTTGTGGACGTGAGTTGGAACATTTCCCCCAGCAAGACCCCAATTGAAGCTGAAAACGGGATAAATATGAAATCAGAACTGTCCGCATTGGCCCCAATTCTACTCTGGGGCTTGGGACCACCGATCAGTTCCTTGAAGGGTTGAGGGCCCGACCTAAACCCTGAACCCTAAGGTCACATCCTGCAGATTGAGACTCCCAAGTCTAACTTGGCCTTCATTGCCCTGAGCTTGGCCACGCAGCAATGCAGTGCAATGCAGCGCCAGTAGCGCCGATGAGGCAAGTGCCCTTTTGTACTAGTTCCAGGTAGGGGTAATCAGGTGAGGCAGTATTCTTGGAAGCAATGACAGCTTCAAGGAAGAAGAATTAATAAGATCAAGGTAGAAGTGAGGCGCGCAGTCATTGTCGTATGCAATTGTAGTAGTCGCAGGGCTGCGTGAACATAAGCACAAGGCATTTGCAGAGAAGTCTGATGCTCAAGAAGCTATGGAGTCGCCTGCTCAGAACTTGAAGCCTTCGCCTTACTGGGGGTTAGTAGGGAATATTCGGAATAAGGGAATGAGTTCTATAGGGATTATGTAGTACGGGATTTTCTATTCCGTTATGCTCTACTGACCCCCGGTAAGTAGCAGCCGACCTCAACTCTGCGGTTTGATTGGAAAGATTTGCAGCAGCAACAACATCAGCAACGTTAACAACAACCACAACAACAACAACAACAACAACAACAATTACTACTACTACTACTACTACTACTACTTCTACTACTACTACTACTACTACTCCTCCTCATCCTCCTCCTCCTCCTGCTACAGCTACTGCTCCTGCTGCTACGTTCTCTCATACTGCTACTGTGCCATTTCTGTTTTGCCGTCTGGGTGAAAACTTGAGGATTGCGACTACCTTTGCTAAGACTCAAGCCCCTCCAACCTCAGCTGATTTCCTGAGACCTACGGCCCTTAACTCCATCAATAATATAGTAGCCTCCAGCTTCCTTTCCACTACCCCCTTATAAACTTCCTAGTCTTTCCGAACACCCAGGGCAATGGATGGAAAGAGCCTGGATGGGCAGACGCTCACCGTTAGCAAAGCTGGGCCTGCTACACAGGAGTGGTTTAGGGGCTAGGGGTTTAGGGGTCAGGTTTATGTTATATGGGGGTTCCCCAAATGAGGGGTACCTTTTTCAGGTCCCTATACTGAGGGTCATGGTATGTTAGGGCAAGCGGTTTAGGGTTTATAAAGGAATTGAGGAACCAAAATAAAATGAAGACGGACACTTCTATGTTATTGTGGATTACTGCGGCTATGGTAGGGATCCCTTCCTTTCTTCTCTGCTAGCCACCTTCACGGGTATTTGGCGGGATGGTTTCGAACAGGTCCTTGACCCCAAGTTCAAAAATGTTGTCGCTAGGGCACGTGGAAGGGCTCTCATCTCAACATATGGACCGACAAGCGTTTTGCAGTGGAAGTTGCATTAGGTCTGCTCATCATGGTATTTCTGAGGCCCAAGCCTACCTACCGGCCTACCACCGATCCGAATGAGAACTTCAAGAAGGCAACGCCTCGCAAAGCCTTACAGCAAGCATAGCAAGCTCATAGCTTCACTTGAAGCCCGCATTTATCATGTTATAGGGGTTATATAGGGTATATGAGACAATGGAAAAGGAAATGGAAACTACTATTTAGGGCTTGGCTCTAGCCATATAATGCCGGGTTTGGCAGCAACGCAAGCCGCAAGCATCATCCGGCTGAAGACATGGTTGGGCTGAGCATCCCTGCAATTTTGAGGAGTCCAGAAAAGAACCCATTCCGATCTGAAGTGCGACATTTCGCATTAGCGTAAATTTGTCGGGTTGTTGTTGCGAGCGCAGCCGTTCCTGAGGGCCACTACCTTCTCTGACCTTGATGTATCGAATGTATTGTCATCCTGTTTCAGCTGCAAACAAGATATGTTCTCTTTTACGTGCGCAGAAATGCAGTTCTTGCTTGTGTTCTCCTTGCATACTTAAGCCAAGCTTTGATCTCTTTAGGAGGGGCATGGCCGGCCTAGCGAGTTGTGTCATCTCGTCCAGGTCCTGATGACAACGCAGACGGAGCGTGAAAATGTGCGCTACCGAAAAGATGTGGAGAAGGCCCAGAAGATACCCTAAGCCAGAGAACGTGATTCAAAGCAGAAGCCCAAATGGCTTGTTGTTTACATATATTGCAGGCCTGTCTATTATGACATGTTGCTGTGTTTTCAATACCTTGAGATGCTGAAGTATTGGCAGTGCCGTCCATAAGCATTATCATGCTTACAATTTGGCAGGCGGCTGAAAAGTTGAGACCCAAGAGCCGCAGTCGCAGCGTCCGGAGACGCTGACATCTCAGACTTGATGCTACTGCAGGAAAACGTTTCATGCATGATTTTCGGGTTCTACCGTTCTACCATAATGCGATCCTTCTTGTGTTGACGTCTTGGCATTTTCTGCGAGTTTGAACGCCAATTTGGTGTCCTGTCGTGTTCAGTGTTTTAGCCTGTGAAAGTTGCATGAGCATGCTAGACTGCTTCCTCCACCAGGCAATCGACGAAGCCAATCGCGTAGTCCGCCAAGAAGAAGAAAAAGTCGTCACCTGGCAAAAGCCTTTTGGCAACGCCAGCTGTGTTGCCACGAACGCTGTCGGGTATGCAAAACAGTGCAAATAAACCCCATACCTTAAACCCCTTAGCTGAATGGTGTATCTAGTACGCGGCAGCTGCTGCAGGGGTCACAAGAGTTCGGCCTCAATGTGTGTGCATGCATTTTCAAACTTGATGGTCCTCGTTGTGGGTCCGTATCATCACGCCTATAGTAGTTGGGGGATTTCTTGGGGTATGTACGGGACCGGTGTTTTGTAAGATGTCCGTTCAATCAGGAGACAGGAGTGTGCGACCATCACGACGGAAGGCGCTCAGCGCAAGCATCTAGCTCAGCAGCAGTGGTGAACATCTGAAGCGATTATGCTAACGAAATTGGGACATGGGCCTTGTTCCAAACGTAATGTTTAGCTCCCCCTGATGTTTTTGTCCATAGGATTCCTAGTTGACAAGCATCACCTCTGATTTCTTGAGTCGCTTCACGATT